TGGTAGACCGCCAGTTTAACCGATCGAACAAGGCAAACCGGGACCCAGCCCCTTGGTCTGGTGATAGCCCGGGTAGGGTTTCAGAACCTTGGTTTTAACTCAAAACTTAGTTTTTGATATACAAAAATCTATCTACCATTTATAAATCATTAATGAGCTATTGAAACTTATTCTATTATGAGTGAATATACATTTAGTGAACAATGAGACTACACATACGTCAATCCCACGTCAGATGCCATGTCATGTTGTAAGGGAGTGTTGTAAGAGATTGATGTATGTGTAGTCTTATTGATTTAGTGATTATTGCTTTGTTATTTATTTCAACAATGCTATTCTTACTCACTTCTCTTACTCCCTTATGTGGCAGCTGATGTGGCAGATGTCATATCATTTGCCACATCACCTAATTGCCACGTGGCAGATGCCATGTCATGTTGTAAGGGAGTGTTGAAAGAGATTGACGTATGTGTAGTCTTATTGATTTAGTGATTATTGCTTTGTTATTTATTTCAACAATTCTATTCTTATTCACTTCTCTTACTCCCTTATGTGACAGCTGACGTGGCAGATGTTATATCATTTGCCACATCACCTAACTGTCACGTTTCTCCCCCTAAAATTAAAAAAAAAAAAAAAAATTTAAACCCTATATTGAAATTTGGAGGGAACCCAAAAGAGAAAACACTTCATTTTATCTTTTCCCCTGACTCAGATTAGCTCGAACCCAATCTCAACCAATTTCGAATTTCAATTTTGAAAAACCATAAGCCTTAACCTTCCAATCTCAGCCACCATCTCAAATCCAAAAATGAGTCGCATGAAGACCGCATACAAAGCAAGGGGTGAAGAAATGTTGGATTCTCATTACAAATGAAACACAAACGGTGAACGATGGTGGTGAAGACAAACAGTGGTTAGGTGAGTGGCCGATTTATTTGCAGTCATTTCCATTCTCTTGTTCTTTTCTTTCTTTCTTGTTGGTTTCAATGGTCGTGGCCACAGCTTTGGTTGTAGAAGCTATCATGAACAAGACTTTAAATGTTGGTAGATATTTGGTTGTAGAAGCTATCATGAACAAGACTTTAAATGTTGGTAGATATTGTTTGGATGTTAAATGTTTGTGCTAATGTTTGGATGAAGGGTAGATGATGTCAAAGGTTTTGTGTATTTTAGTAATGGATTTTGATTACATGCTAACTGTTCGTTGTAATGCTTATGTGAGGAGGAGACATATCTGGTTTTTGTATTGTAGCTATGATATTAATTAATGTTCGGTGAAGAGGAAATGATGATGTTCGTTTTATGTATTTTATAGTGATGAATTTGGATTTTGATTGTGCATGGGTAAAAAGTGGGGCAAACAAAGAGCTGCTTCTTCAAAGTGGAATAATTATGAAAGATCACGCCATCATACTTTGCCCTTTTCATTTAAACTTGTCAGCAGATGTCCTATGCTACATAATTGTCTTGAATAAAATTTATTCTGACAGACTCTATTTAATCTCATTCTATACATGTAGTGTGACTCAGAGTCACCATTAATAAAATATAGGTTACTTATTTAGATGCCTATACATATTTCATTAGTTTAAGTATGAGAAGGCATGTGCCATCCTTTTCATGTAGGATAATGTTGGGTCATTTGACCTTATTCAATACATATAAGCACATGAGGTTATGGACCTGCTAGTGGGTTCTTGTCGTTATGATAATACAGTAACTTTTCATGCATGCTAGTGGATCCACAATATGTGTTTCCTCTCTTTCTTTTGTTATGTTTGAATTTTTAAATATATATCTATATATGTAGATTTTTTTTTCTTGCTTGGTTTAACTTCGGCTATTACAGCTAGGTACCAAAGATTCAAATCCTTTTTTAACTCAAACTTTCAACCACTCCACATGCATTTCACAAAGAGTAATAAAGTTATATAAAAGTAATCCAACAAGAAAGTATTGTTTATAAAGTAAGATTTTTTTGAAGTTAAGTGATGAGATCATTTCTGATTCCTGTTTTTGACTAATCCCGCAGGGGTTTTGGTTTACCTCAGCCCTAACCTGGCCTTGTTCCCAACATGTACCTCTCTATTTTTATAGTCAAAATAGAAAGAGAAAGACAGAGAGAAGGGAGTGTTTTTGCTATGATTATTCTTGTTTGTGTATATAATGTCTTGTAGCATGTCCCTACCATGATTAGAATAATAATCTAGGTTAAGCTATGATTTAATAATAAGGAAAACCCCAGCAGCAGCAACAAAACAGCCCCAGGGCCAATAGCCCCAACAGCAGCAAAAAAACACTAGCAACACCAAAAGGCCCCAGCAGCAGTAGCAATAAAAGGCCCAGGCATCAGCAATAGCAAATCAACCCAGGAGCAGCAACCAAAACCCCAGTAGCAGCAAACAAAACCCCTAGTAACAGTAGCCCCAACAATAGCAAAAAAGGCCTTAGTAGTAGTAGCAAAATCACCCGTAACAGTAGTAAAACCCAAGCAGCAGCAAAGAAAAATCCCAACAGCAACAAAACAATGCTAGGGCCAACAGCAAAAAAAAAAACCAACACCAAAACGCCCTAATAGTAGCATTAAAAGGCCCAGGCAATAGTAGCAAATCAACCTAAGAGCAACAACTGTTGGAGTAGGTGCCCTAGAGCCAATCAATTATTGTGGAATTGACTCTTTGTAATAATATTAGTCAATAAAAGCATTATCTACTATATCATGTAACTCATAGTTGTATGTATTGATATATGTCCTTAGGATGGTAAAATCATGACGAGGTATCAAGTGTTTCAAATCTTGATAGTGGGAACCCTATGATCACATATGGTGGTCATTCTAGAAATGTCTGTAGCTCCAGTATTATTTTGACCAAGGGCACAGATAATACGGTAAGCCTATCATAGTGTTGAACGACCTTGTCGAAAGGTAATAATTGATCTCACTTGTCAAGGTTGTTTGTCGACAACCTGGTGCAACAGTTGGGTGCTTGCTGTAGGCAAGTTCACTGGACTGACCCATTAGAGGATTCCATATAGATGGTAACCCTAGTGTCTATGGAACAAATCCTCTAACGAATGGTGGTGCATGTGATATTTAGACTTGAAATCACCAGAGCGCCTTGTGCACCGATTGGTGTAGTTTGACACTAGTCTAACGTAGTTCTATTTAGAGCTATCAATATGGTAGTGATTGGTTACCTCGAGGAGTGTATCAAGACTATGGTGGATCGACAGACGATTCATTACTCTCAAGTACGGGAGAAGTTATCTCATGGCGCAATTTAGTATATGACAATAACATTAAAGTTGTGGCCACAATGGGATTGAGTTGTTGCCCAATCTAATATATTATTTTGGTCATTGGTCTAGTAACTGAATACAAAGACATCGAGGATAACTGAGGTTGACACTCTCGGGTTGTTGCCCAATCTAATTTATTATTTTGCTTCATCTCCTTGGACATAACCACAAATGCACCAGCATTAATTGCTTCTGTTGATTGATGGGAACTCCTAGCCTTCAATCAAATTAAATTTATAAATCATGTGATACTTTAGAAGAAAATCACAAGGCCAATTATAGTTGGTAATTTAAAAAGACTAATTGATACTAAACATAAACTTTGATAATTAGTATTATAATATGAACCACATGTCGGGGCTAACACATTTATTGATAAATGATCCATAAAATTTTTTAAACAGAGTTTGAATGCTAAAAAAGTAGCTACAACACTCACTTGGTTTCGTAATTTCTTCTTTTTAGCTTTATGAACAATTTGTTCAACCTTCAATTGCTTTCTTTTAATTGGAGGTTGACCTTTGCTGCGAATAAACTATGGAGTCAGAATAATACTACTCCCCTCTTTTGAATTACATTGAACGCTTTCACAGTTTTTTATACAATTTGCGAACATGTTTAGGTTTCTATTAACTAAATCGGCCTTTTTAGTTAGCTCCAACTCCTTCTTCATGTCACTGATCATTTGCATCACCTTATTACATGCATTGTCATTGCTTGATGTCAAATCTACCACCATAGAAAATGCATTACACATCTAATCAAAACATTGTCCTTCAACATTCATACTCCAACTGTTATAACTTATGCGAACTTTGGTGTGACATCTGCATATATTTTTTCTCCATCGCCTTAAAATTTACTTTTCAAGAACTTGATAAATATCCTTATGAAGCAACACAACAATTGCATGTCAACATAAAATTCCTCTAAACTCACAATCGACAATTGCAATGAACATCACAACTACTTTCATTAAAGCACACCAGAAAAGAATCACGATGACATGTCTCTCCAACCACAACAACTTCCTTCACTATAAATTCCTTATATGAATCAACATCTTTGTAAGAAGATATTTCACAATAGAGTTTAGCAGCAAGCTTCTGTTGAAACTCTTTGAATTTAGCAGTGGTGTAAGCATCTTGATATTGTTTCTCCATAGGATAAACGCTTATGCAAGGGATCCATGATTTGAAAGATCTAAAATTACCTTCCTTTTCATTTTCCACTTTATCACACAATGCATTCTCCTACTGTTCAACAAACCGTTTTAGAATGATTTTTTAATTTACATACCCATCAAAGAATGCATGTATACTTTCATTATGTTGAGTAGTAAACATACCTGCCCAAAAGATATCTTTTACAAATGTCAGCACCCAATGTTGTCTTTCATTATACAATCCAAGTAAACATTCATTGGCCTGAAGGTTGTGTCTATCAATGAACCTATTCCATCATTCCTCAAACTCATCTCATGTCAACGATTCATACACGACATTTTGTAAACTAAACTTAATATTTTCATATTCACTATAACCTTTTAACTTCTTAGGCAATTTCTTCATTATATGCCACAAACACCATCTATGTCATGTATTGGGGAACACAATCTCGATATCATTTTGCATTGCCTTATCTTAATCGGTGATTATTGCCTTAAGAGCACAATTCCATATACATGTAAGCCAAGACTAAAAAAGCCATAGAAATGTATCTGTGTCCTCATGAGAGATTAACCCACAACCTAGCAATGTTGAATGGACATGATGATCAACACCAACAAAAGTAGCAAACGACATATCATACTTGTTGGTCAAATATGTAGTGGCAAATGTCACGATGTCACCAAATTCTTTAAATGTAGCCCTACTTCTTGCATCCACCCATAGAACATTCTGCAATCGACACTCTTCATCTAAATCCGTAATGTATAAGAAATTTGAATTCTCCTTTTGCATCTTCAAAAAATTGAATTGCAAAAGCATCTCCAACACCAAGTCGTGGCCTCCTAACTTTATCAATGTAGTTCCTACAATCTTTCTGTAGGAAAGACAAATTCTCAGCTCTGCCAACTTCAACTGCCAAGGAATTAAAATTTTTATTTGCTCTAATCCCGACCCTATCATTCACTTCAAGTTTCCTTTTCACAAATGGTTGTATTATTCAATTCTTCTTGAAATATCTACTTTTGCTAGGAGTAGTGAGTGCATGGTTATGATCTACGATAGTTGAACATATTTTCCATTTTCCATCATAACGTAAAGATGTGGTACTATGAGCCTTACAATCAATTTTTATCACTAGATGCATATTAAATGCTTTTCTAGATTCATTGCTCAACTTCCCACTACAAGAACAAGCCATTTTCACGTATTTCAACCCTCCATCAACTCCTTTCTTTGAAGATCTTATCATAACTTTAAAACCCATTTTATTCCCATAGTTTTTGTAGTATAGGAAAACCTCATCAAAAGAATCAACAACCATTCTAGGCTTAGGCCTCCATTCCTCTTCAGCAGTTCTTGTATCTGCTATTTCTTGACAATCATTATCCTGATTTGTTGATATTATAATCAACAAGATAAAAATATAATAACACTCATAAGAGCTAGAAATGATATCATACAAAAATTAAAATCATATAAATGAATAAAAAAGAGATTATGAAGAAAAAATTACCTCAACAACATTGGCTTTAGAAATAGAGTTCCTTGGTTTTTTTTGTTTCATTGCACTTTTCCATTTTTGGTTTACGGTTGCAAACAATATTAGCTTCAGAAATAGATTCTATTAAAAGATACTAATGTTGATTAAACAATGCATCCAACATTGAGAATTCAATAGTAATATTAATGATTAGAACAAAGTAGGTGCAGAAGTCCATAGTTCCACCTCAAAATTATATGTTCTCTGAATGTCCAACACTTAAGTGGTTCTAGGTATATATAAGGCTATTAAAACCATAAAGAAATACACATCTTCAAATATAGAATGACACGTGAATAAAATAATTTATATAATGTTTTTTTTTTCTTTTTGGGTAAGTAGTTTATATAATGTTTTATGATATAATCTAATTAACAAGGGTAATTTCATAATATTTTAATGTTATCCAATTCTACAATCTAGAAACGTTGAAACCTATTAAAGACAACTAAATAAAACAGTGCCAAACTTGTAATATAGTATGCAAGTTTCAAACATAAAACCTTCGTCTATAAAGGCTTTTAGTTTATGGAAATAGAGTTGAGAGAAGATTCATAGTGAGTCAATCAAAAAACAACTAAACTAACCTAAAACATATATTTAAATATTTACTTTCATATTATAGTAAAAAATAGGCTAATAAAAGTAGCAAAATCTATGTCCATGTCCATCCTATGAAATGGTTTAAGTATAAGTTGTCAATGACCAAAAATCTGCCATGTAATGTTAAACAAAACCACCTACTCAGTCAACACTAATAAAGCTCCAATTTTTTTTTTTTTCCCATAAATCCTTGGTTTCAATTCACTGAAGTTAACATCTGGACATTGGTCATATCCATCTAGAGCCATACCAATTCCTTATTAATATTTGTGTATTAGATATAAGATAAATCAACAAAATTTCCCATTGAGCTCTAATTTATTTCTCACTTCTTGTACATTAGAGTTGTGATTTCTGACTAAGTTCAGTGCTGAATTATTGGAAGTGGTGATTAATAATTCCAAATACTGGTTTCATATATATTAATCTTCAATAAAAGGAAGTGCTTGATTAAAAGGTGGCTGAGCTCGGTAGTGGTTGTCATTGCAGATGGCTGGACATTACCACAAACAATTAATGTGTAATCAAAACCCATTACTAAATGCACAAACAAAACCTTTGACGTCAGTTATCCTTCACTCAAATTGAACATTAACACAAACTTTGAAACAGCCATTGAAACCAACAAGAAAGAAAGAAAAGTACAAGAGAATGGAAACGAGTGCAAATAAATCAACCACTCACCTGACCCTTGCTTGTCTTCACCACCGTCGTTCACTATTTGTGTTTCATCTGTGATGAGAATCCAACATTTCTTCACCCCTTGCTTTGTATGTGATCTTCGTACTCCCTTATTTTTGGATTCAAGATGATGGTTGAAATTGGAAGGTTAAGGCTTATGGTTTTTCAAAATTGAAATTCAAAATTGGCTAAGATTGGATTTGGGTTAATTTGATTCAGAGGAAAAGATAAAATGAAGTTTTTTCTATTTTGGGTTCCCTCCAAATTTCAATTTAGGTTTAATGTTTTTTTTTTATTTTAGAGAGAGAAATGTGATAGCTAGGTGATGTGACAGATGATATGACATCTATCACGTTAGTTGCCACGTAAGAGAATAAGAGAAGGGAATAAGACTAGCATTATTGTATTTATTTTAAGATAATGCTAGACTTATAAAGACCCTTACAAAAAATCTCTTACAAAGTGATATGGCATGTGACGTGACACATTCCATCTTAGTAGCCACATCATCTATATGTCACGTCACTTTCTCCCAATAAAAAATTCAAAATTCAAAATTTTGCAAAACCTTAAATCAATTATGATTTTCCAACATTAAAATAAAACCTGACAATTTTAATTTTTTTTCCCTCAGGAAATATTCTTCACCTCAATGGCTGCCACAGCCACCGCCTATACCACCATCGGCGTCGTTATCGCTATCTACCACCTCTCTTCATCTCTGTCTTCTAACCCTAAAAAAACCCAGAAAGCCCCTCTTTCTTTGTTCTCCAAAACCCTCTCTTTTCTCTTTTAAACAACAACCCCACAAAACTGACTGCGTTGTTTTCTCCAAAAACCCCATATCCCGGTTCTTTACCAATGTCGAGAAGCAGCTAGATGATCGTTCTGTTAGCTTTGATGATGATGACAACGATAAGCCCCATGAAGAGTGCCGTGTTGTGAGCTTCTATAGTGACCTTGAAGCATCTTGTTTGTGCTATTTTAGTGCTACACGCGCTGCAGCATCATGGACAAGAAGGTTGCAGTATGGTTGCTATGAAAAATATGGTTCTTCAAACTATTACTGGTGTTGGTTTAGTCTCTGAGGTGTTTAATGAGTCTAAACTTGATCAATTGCCTAGTGGTATGACTATTGGTCTTGTTAGATATTGAACCGTTGGTTGTTCTATGTTTAAAAATGTGCAACCTTTTGTTGGTGGGTATAGGTTTCGGTCTGTTCGGGTAGCACATAATGGAAATTGCAATGTGCTGTTTTTGATTGTGATGTTGATTGTGAGGCTCTTGTTGATTGTGATGTTGTGATTGTGATCCTTTCATTGAATTGCAACAACATCTAAAATTGTTAGGTTGCTAAAGGAGGCGGGGGCCAAGTTGCCAACCCACCTATCATTGCATCATGTTACTATAGTGAGTGTTGAGGAGATTAGGGACTTTGTTGGTGTGCTTCCCTGGATCTTTGTTATGTTTCTTCTCTGGGAATTACCCAGTTAAGCCATTTGACAACTTGAAGAAGTTGTTGGCGCAGATTCTCCGGATTTTTGCTATGCTTGCTTCTCTGGGAAGATTAAGGTGAAAAGGGTTGGTGATTATATGGATGATGGGTTGAATGGAACCATTGAATCCATTGATGATGGTTGGGTGCAAGGACCTCGAAATCGGAATGAGAACCAAGGCGTATGATCTCGGCACGATCAGTCCATTACTTAGAATACCTCCAAATTACAGCATTACTTGTGGGTTTAACACAAAAAGATACGCGGTATCCGGTGTGTGATTGAAGTGCATGACACATCTTAAAATCATCCAAATACAGTTTTGAATTTTTTTATTAATCTCTTTCTTGGATGAATTGAGTTCCAAGCTCTAAACCTTACACAGTTTGATTGGCTCTTGTCAATTTTGGTAGAAAATTTGATATGATTATGGAGTTTATCTTGTATATAGATTGATGAACAAAGAATGGTTGAATAAATACTTAGAATTGCTTGATACAAGGTAGAATATATAAGGGATTGAGATTCTAAATTCCTTTACACAATTGTTGACAACAACCAGGCAGTATGATAGAACTTCATTTCTTCAAAATCCAAGGATGTAAACATAACTAAAACAACTAGTTAATTTCCAATGCCAAAACGTACATAATCAGTCAAGATATTTAACCTTCAATCCCTCTGTTCCTTTATCTCACTAAATATCCAAGGCTGCAAACCATAAGGTATATCATCCACAAACTATAAAATCATGGCTTCAACAAAATGAGTGTATGAGATAATTCAACAAATCCATCGAGTAAAACATGGGGTATAATTCACAATGTTGAGCAACCTTAGATTAAAACATGGGGTAAAACTTAAAAGTAAACTAGGGGGACAACTATATTCTTTATCAACAGTAAGGGAAGGAAAGAACAACATAAAAAATAAAAAGTAAAGGCTAATATGGCTGCTGAGAATTTAATTAAATAATACAAGAATAGCATACCTTTTCTACCCAAGAATCTTTGTACTCCACCATAAAAGGATTTCGTATCTTACAAATGAGCTCCATCCATATGATATGAAGCAGAAAAGGGTCAGTTTCAAGGACAACAAAAATTTTCAGATCAAAGATACAGGACAACCGTCAATGGATTTACTCTAATCAAGTTCAATTTCAATATTATCTGTCACCAGAACTCATCATTACCAGTTCTGAATTTCAATATATCATCCACAGACTATAAAATCACGACTTCAACAAAACGAGTGTATGAGATAATTCACCAAGTACCTTAACAATTATAGGTTTGTCCACAGTCCTGAAGCTGCTTCAATTACACTTTTCTGCAACAAATCACAAATGGCCTCAAGGTAAATGAAAAACACAGCAAATTGAGTAGCTTAACCACTTCATATTCTGGGAAGTTTGCAAAACTAACATTTTCTTTCAGTCATACAAGACATAAACAAATCTCAATAACTCATGCACAAAGCCTCTCCTATCTACTGTTCATTAGTTTGCAAAACTAACATTTTCTTTCAGATTTATTAAACACCTCAAAGACTAAACCAACACCAGTAATAGTTTGAAGAACCATATTTTTCATAGCAACCATACGGCAACCTTCTTGTCCACGATGCTGCAGCGCGTGTAACGCTAAAATAGCATAAACGAGATGCTTAAGGGTCCCTATAGATGCTCACAACACCGCACTCTTCACGGGGCTTATCGTCGTCACTATCATCAAAGCTAACGAAACAGTCATCTGGGTGCTTTTCGACATTGATAAAGAACCAGGATATGGGGTTTTTGGAGAAAACAATGAAGTCATTTTTTGTGGGGTTGTTGTTTAAGTGAGAATTTTTGAAAGGTTTTGGAGAACAGAGAAAGAGGAGCTTTCTGGGTTTGTTTGGGGTTAGAAGACAGAGATGAACAGAGGTAGTAGATAGCGATAACAGCGCTATTGGTGGCAGAGGTGGTGGTTGTGGCAGCCATGGAGGTGAAGAATATTTTCAGTGGAAAAAAAATTAAAATGGTCAGGGTTTTAATTTTGGGAAATCAGAGTTGATTGTATTGCAAAATTTTGGGGCGTATTTGGTTTATTATTTTGAATAGGATTTTGGGAATGATACTGAGTAGTTGAGTGGGTTATGATTATGCGAATAAGATTTAAAGAATATGGCTCCGTTTGGTTCATTTTTTTACATTTTTTAGAAAAAAGTTAAAAAAAGTTGAATTGGGCGGGTATTAAGATA